CCGGAGCCTGTGCTCCACAATGGGAGAGGCCACAACAGTGAGAGGCCCACGTACCACAAAAAAAACCAAGAAAACAAAAAAACAAAAAAAACAAAACTGTATCTCCTAACCAGGGAGGATTTGGTGAGGGGTTTTATAGCAGTGGTTCACAGGTGGGGTCTCTGACAAGATCAGGGTGTATGCAGGGCCTGCCCTCCCTTAATCATCTCAGGTGGTGGGTCTCCTAATCTTGATGAACTTCTCTAGTGCCTTTAATCTTGCCTCAGGTGGTTTCTTGGCTACTCCCCCCTTGATTAGCAACTGTTCCACCCTTTGGAACTCAGGGTAGGTCATGGAGGCTGTAGTCTTGCCTACAAGAAATGGGGGAAAAAAGGGCCCCCATGCCCGGGAGCCCCACAGGGCCCCGCATGGTTTCAGAAGTACTTAAAATGTGCCTAATTTGTAGTACACACAGAGCAAATGAGCTATTATTAGTAGCATACTTTTCATTCATTGAACAAATATTTGGACGGTGGGCTGCATTTGGCTAAATATAACAAAATTCTAAATATAGAAGCTTAACCAAACAGGTTAACCACTCCTGTTACATCCCTTGAATGAACAGATAAAAGATCCCTGCCCTCACATTATAACAAATTTGGAGACACAGATAGCCCGGCTGGAATTGGCAACCCACAATGCCATCAAGGATCCAGTCTCCTATGTTTCTGTTCAGCCATCCTTAACATGTGGTTTTCATCTTTGTGTTTGTTATCACATAGGCAAATAGTCCTCATCCTTGGCACTCTAACCACACTCAGGTAGAAAGGAGGAGGAAGGGATAATGCCTTTATTAGGAAGGTAAGTTTCTCATAAATGTCCCAGCAGTCTTCTGCTTATATCTCATTGGCTTAAGTTGTCTCACTCTTATCTGGGGCTGCCAGAGAAGCTGGGCACACTGCTACTCTAGACAAAATCAGGAAGGGGAAAATGGATATAGGGTAGAAAACTAGCAGTTGCTCAGGTTCATCCGTCCAGGCACCGAGAACCTTGAAAGCTGGTGGGGTAGAGGTAAACCAGTAATTGAACAGTGTGATAAAGATCACAATAGGGGCTTCTGGAGCCTGTGCTCCGCAACAAGAGAGGCCACGACAGTGAGAGGCCCGCGCACTGCGATGAAGCGCGGCCCCCCCCTGGCCGCAACTAGAGAAAGCCCTCGCACAGAAATGAAGACCCAACACAGTCAAAATAAATAAATAAATAAATAAATAAATAAAAAGATCACAATAGAGGTGTTTATCATGGGAGCACATAAAAGAGACAACTAATTTGTATTTCAAAGATCAGGAAAGGCTTGCTGAAGGAAGTGATAACTGAGACAAGTAGGAGCTGGCCAGAGAAGAGAGTGTGTTCAGAAGTTCAGAATTGAGACCAGGTCTTTTCTGGGAACAGAAAGTAGCTCCCTATTGGTGGGCAAAAGAGTGTGCTATAGAGAGGGGTGATGTTGGAGGTAAGCAAGAGCACAAAGGACTTCACAAACTGTTTTGAAGAATTGGTACTTATCTTCAAGGTACTAAGAAGCCAGTGAGGAATTTCAAGCAGGAGACAGATTTTCTTGCTAGTTTTAAAAACTGGAATGGAAAAATCATTGTCTATAGCAATTATTTCTAAATGCCAGTGGATCTGCTGTCCCTTTTTAATGCAGCCAGGAGATGCACAAATTCACTTGGCCAAGCCCTCTCCCCTTTTACAGGGATGCCCTCAGCTGGCCACTGCATTCAGAAGCTGAGAGCTATCTTTGTTTAAAGTTACTAACATTTTGGCCTTCCTCCCTAACATAATGCTGTGGGTAAATTAGGCTTTTTCTGGAAATGCCATCCCTATCAGAAGTGATCACTTTTTTTTTTAAACATTGGAGTTTTTTTAATATATTAATTTACTATTTATTTATTTTTGGCTGCATCGGGTCTTCACTGCTGCGCGCGGGCTTTCTCTAGTTGTGGCGAGTGGGGGCTACTCTTCGTGTGGTGCGTGGGCTTCTCATTGTGGTGGCTTCTCTTGTGGAGCACGGGCTCTAGGCGCGTGGGCTTCAGTAGTTGTGGCTCGCAGGCTCTAGAGCGCAGGCTCAGAAGTTGTGGTGCACGGGCTTAGTTGCTCCACAGCATGTGGGATCTTCCCGGACCAGGGCTCGAACCCGTGTCCCCTGCATTGGCAGGTGGATTCTTAACCACTGCGCCACCAGGGAAGTCCCAGAAGTGATCACTTTTTGACTATTTTCTTTACTCTGCAGTGTTCATGCTCAACTATTTTTTTTAAAAGAAACAATGAAGGCTTACCTAAAAGGTTAAGTATAGACAGAAATCATGAGTATCCTAAGTGATCTCTGATGTATTTGATTAGATCATCCATCTCCAGGCGGAATATTTTTTTCTTGATTTGAAATGAGACCACACGTTTGACTAATCTCCCAGCTTCCAAGTTATTCCTGGACGGTCAAATGGGTGGTGTGGCACAGAAGCACAGTCTACTGCAGTAGCACTGGGTACATTATTGCTGTTTCCCAAACTGGTATCTTTGGAGCACAACCTGAAAGAGACTGACTGAACAGTCATTTGAAACCCACTCTTTACTCCCCATTCCTGGTTCCTTGCTTTGGGGGCTGCGGGGGGGGGGGGGGGGGGGGGGGGAGAGCGGGGACGGAATGGAACTTTAACACTTCCTAGCATGCTATATAATTACTTTCTATTGTTTGTCTCCCCTCACTACCTGTAAGCTTTTTCAGAGCAGGTATTTTTTTTCTGTTTTGTTCACTGATGTGTTAGCAGTGGCTAATAGTGCCTAGAATTTGGATTTGGAAGGTACTGAAATACGGGGTTGGCCAAAAATTTCGTTTGGGTTTTCCCATAACGTCTTACAGAAAACACAAATTTTTTGTCTAACCCAATACTTGTTAAGAATTTGCAAATGGATTATCATCAGTGTTTCCTCTATGGTTATCTTCTGTTCTGCTGAGGAAGGGCCAAACTCATCTCAACTTTTGCACCTTCTGTTTCTTCTCTTTTTGGCTAAATCCTACCTATCCTTCAAGCAACAAAATCAACGAATTGTTTTAAGGCAGCGATTACATGCAAACACTGTTTCAGCAGGCAAATCAACTTTCAAAAGCAATGCACCATCCCTTTCTTAAAAGTTGGAGGCTTAGGGCTTCCCTGGTGGTGCAGTGGTTGAGAGTCCGCCTGCCGATGCAGGGGATGCGGGTTCGTGCCCCGGTCCGGGAGGATCCCACATGTCGCGGAGCGGCTGGGCCCGTGAGCCATGGCCGCTGAGCCTGCGCGTCCGGAGCCTGTGCCCCACAACGGGAGAGGCCACAACAGTGAGAGGCCGGCGTAACGCAAAAAAAAGTTGAAGGCTTAAAATGCCATTCATCACAACTAAACATACTATTATTCATTTATACTAAAAGTCACTCCATACTATCATAATTGCACATTTTCATAATATGGTACATTGGAATGAGTCAAGCATCCTGCTAAAATTGGATTTTCTAGATAATACTTTAGCAGATGTGAAATTCTGGAAAGGCTCTTATGAATCCTTTCCAAGGATTCTGTTTCTGAATTCCCTGTAGAGCAACTTTGTTCAGTTTTATTTTTATCCTCACATGTATCCTTTCAATTCACTCATCCATCCAAAAATTATTAAACATCGACTTTCTGTCATGCACCATTCATTAATAGGTAAGTCCTACAGAAAATCTTTTTCACTGCTGGCACTAGGAAATTTTTTTGTTGAAAAGACATTATAATCTTAACAAAAGTAGGTCTTGTTTATCAATATCCCCAACAACTACAACAGTATCTGAGTCACAGTAGATGCTCAAAAGCTTTTTTTGAAAGAATGGTGAGCACTTTATACATTTATTGCTCACTTCCAAGTGCACCACCTGATAAGAGTCAACATACTGAACACACAAGCCTATCCACAACCCCAGTGGGTCAATCCAACTGTGCCAGAGCCAGGAAGCTTCTGTTTAAATCGTGGTAAGCAGAGTCCTAGAATGACTCTCCAAAATGTCCCACCCTAATCCCTCAGACTGTGAATATGAGACATTACATCTGTGATGTCACATTGCCCAGCAAAAGGGATTTGCAGGTATGATTAAAGTTGTAATCAGTTGACTCGAGGTAATAAAAAGGAAGATTATTACGGTAAAACTAATATAAACACACAAACCCTTTAAAAGCAGTCTGTCTATAGCAGAAAAGGAAGTCAGACTCCAAGAATGAGGATTCAATGCACTGTTGCTAGCTTGAAGAGGGAGGGGACCATGGTGTCAAGAAATATGGGTGGCTTTCAGGAGCTTAGAGTGGCCCATGACAGGCAGCAAGGAAACAGGGACTTCTCTTCTTACAACCGAAAGGATCTGAATGAGCCTGGAAGCAGATTCTTCCCCTGGAGACTCCAGACAAGAGCCCAGTCTGGGCCACAACTTGATTTCAGCCTGTGAGACCCCAGGCAGAGAACTCAGTCAAGGCTTCCTAGCCTTCTGACCTACAGAACTCTAAAATAATAAACAGGGGTGAATTTAAGCTGCTAAACTTGTTAAGCAGTAACAGAAAACGAATACAATCATCCTGTACTAGAATACCATTATGCAAGCCCTCCTCTACTTTTCCATTTTCTGAATTTGTTTTACTTTGCTTTCCTTTTCATGGTCCACGGAAACATTATCCAGGAAAATATTTCCACCCAACATTAGTTTTTGCATATGAAAACGAGCTAAGTTAAGGTACTAAGAGAATTTCTTTGGACAGTATCCAGCCTATATTACTGCCCTTTAACTTAAGAGCAATAAACCTAAAGAGATAAAACTATCAATGACCAAAAAGGTCTATGCTCATGCCAATAAATTTGTAAAATTCAAAAAGGTACAATATAAATCAAATCAGATATTGAAATTGTATTTAAATTCTCTTACAAGAACTTACTGCCTCAACTCGGAAAACAATCAAATAATTATGTACACTGAGTCAGAAAATTATTTTAATAGTTACAAAATATCTTTTTTTGTTTGTTTTTTTTTGTTTTTTTTTTTACAGAATCAGTATAAAATAGCAGTTGATTTCTCCATAATTATCAGAATTATTTATACTTGAGGTCTTGGGTAAGTGGGGCTGAAATCAACAAAAGGTCTTGGACTGTTGGCTCAGAAATCTTCCTGGGAAGCCCACCATGTTGATGTCTGTCATGCTTAACTCTTATGAGATGACCCGGTCCTTTTTTAAAAAAAGTATCTTTTTATTCATTCTTTGGAGGCTTGAAGTGAATTCGGCAGCGTTCATTAAACACCTAAGATATGTGAACAGAAACAAAGGTCACTGAGTCATCCTGTATAAATCAGGCCTGGAATTCAATTAAATTTGGCATGGGTCAGGTGGATATAACCTTTTCTTGTCCCAGGTCAACAGGTTTAGGAAACAGAGGTGTTTCCTCACTGGTTCAAACTGACTTGCTAGGTGCTAAGAGCTAAGAAGGCCTTGATATTCATTTATATGATAATTTTAATATTTTAATAAAATTTAAATTATTCAAGGAAAAAATCATCACAAGCTAGCTTATTTGGTAAACTAACAAATATGCTAGTTCCATATTCTGGACATATTTTGGACAGTTAGACAAAAATATCTAAATTACCTTTAAGATAAAGCTTTTTAAAAATCCTTTTATAATGAAGATTTTATTTAGATATCTGTCATGCTTTTCTAAATGAGTGCCAGATCCTTCTTACATGGAGATATACTTGAAGGGAGTCCAGTCTTTTGCTAAACTGTATAAATTTATATAATGTTTTGTTCTATTTATCTTGCTTCCTAAAAACTAAACAAATAACATATCATAATGTTAAAAGAACATTCTATTATTACGTGTCATGTGGGACTATGTCAAATAACAATTTTGGTACATCCATTCAATGGGATATAAGCAAGCATAAAAAATAAGGAAGCTCTTCATGTTCTGATTTGAAAAGATCTCCAAGATATATTAAGGGAAAAAAACAAAGTGTAGACAATATACTTCCATTTGTCTGATAAAGGGGGAAAATGTGTGTGCTTTCAAGGAGCAAACACCTTATCACATAGGTGGAAAGGGCAGAAATAAGAAATCTTGGCAAAGAGGATAGGATAAAGAAATGTGATAAAGCAAAAGAAATCGATTTGTATTTCGCAGTTTATTCATGGCTCTGCAAGTTGGTACACTCCAGTTTTTTTTTTTTGCAGTACGCGGGCCTCTCACTGTTGTGGCCTTTCCCGTTGTGGAGCACAGGCTCCGGATGCGCAGGCTCAGCGGCCATGGCTCACGGGCCCAGCCGCTCCGCGGCGTGTGGGATCTTCCCGGACTGGGGCACGAACCCGCATCCCCTGCATCGGCAGGTGGACTCTCAACCACTGCGCCACCGGGGAAGCCCAGTACACTCCAGTTTTTGGTTCAGTTAGCCTCCCTCTGGATCCAGCCCCATTCCATTGGTTAATTTCAAAGGGTAAAACAGAATCTTCAGTTCATTCTTTCAGATTTAATAGATTTTGCCCTTTGGAAATCTTTGAAGTTTTAGAGAGGACATGCAGACATACTTTTTCAGAAAACTAAAGCAGGAATTTTGTAATTTTTTAAAAAAGTTTTATTGGATTATAGTTGCTTTACAAAGTTGTGTTAATTTCTACTGTACAGCAAAGTGAATCAGCTGTACATATACATACATCCCCTCTTTTTTGGATTTCCTTCCCATTTAGGTCACCACAGAGCACTGAATAGAGTTCCCTGTGCTATACAGTATGTTCTCATTAGTTATCTATTTTATACATAGTATCAATAGTGTAGAATTTTGTGATTTTTAACTACATGTAAAGTCCTGGGATCCTGGTCCCCCAATCTAATTCCTAATTAGAACCACGTAGGTGGTAATAAGGAGCATGTGAATCTAGGAGCCATAAAAAGCCCTATTATCAAATACCAGTAAAACTACATACAAACAAAGTTTCACGATCAGATATGTTAGAAAACAAACAAATGTGAAGGATAATGATATGAAAATTTATGGAAAGTAATTGAGCTCAGAAAAGCTAACTTGAACAAATAACCTGGTTGAAGGTTCTAAGTTAACAACTAATAACTCTAAATATCAAATAGCCCATAATTAGTATTAGGAAACATACAGAATGTCTCCAATTCTGTTCCCATGACGATCATGCAATTCTACCATATGACTGTAAAGCTACTTTTTGTAAGATGGCTCTAACTTGGATTCTAACCACAACCTGCACCCCCCCACAAAAAAGTTAAAGCCTTCAATTGCTTGTAAATGAAGGATCTTTATTATTCTTAAGTGCCCAAGGCACTCTTTGCCTCCCCCCTCCCTTGGTTTCCCTTTGTTAGTTCTGCTTCCCCTCCTAGTTCTCTCCAAGAACCAACATTATTTTATACCTTCCAGCTCCTGTCATTTACCACTTCTTCAACATTCAGTTCTGACTGCATCCATTTCAACTGCAAGAAAGGAAAACAAAATGAAGTTACGAAAATTTAAATTAAAGAACTAAAACCAAACTCTTTGTTTTCCTAACAAAACCAGCTGCTGCTCCTGCATTCCTTATTAATGGTAATACTTAGGCCAGATTTCAAAACCTTCTTTGACATAGCTGTTCTCCTCATATTTAATCAGTTGCTATATCTTATAAAGCCGTAGTTCTCAAGCTTTGCTGCATATTATTATCACCTTGAGAGCTTTTAAAAAAAAATCTCAAATGTCCAGGTAGTTCACAGAAGGAAAACAAATGGCCAATAAACCTATTTTTAAAATGTACAATTTTATTCATGTATAAAGAAATGTAAATTAAGCCATAATATGACAAAAAAAATTTTAATACAAGAAATCTGATGTCTGATAAAACCTAGTATTAGTGAGGGTATGGGGAAAGATACACTCACATATATTTTTAGTAGGAGTACAAATTGTCTCAACTTCTATGGAGAGCAATTTGGTAAGACTTACCAAAAATGTAAATTCACATGTCCTTTAACTCAATAACTCCAGTTCTAGTTATTGATCCTACCATATAGATTTGCAAAGATAGCACAGACGAACAAAAAAAAGGACAAGGAGGTGGCAACCTGATTTGAATAAAAGAAAAAAGAAACAGGAAGAAAAACAGAGAAGAAGAATATATAAAGCTCAAGTAATTGAGAAAGGGATGAGTTTTCCATACCTTAACCGTACAGCCAGAGGTGTGAGGCTAAAAATGCTAGTCTTTCTAACTTTCTTTGTAACTGCCAACCTAATCACTCCATCAAAAACGTAGCCAAATCTATTGCCAGGTCCAGATGGCAGGCCCATCATACTCCTAGTCGCCTCTGGTCAGAGAGACCTGAAAGGAAAGAAGCTAACCAATTCCAGGAGGAGAACCTGAAAATATTCAGGAAAATTAGGAGAAAAAAAGCAGTACAGGTTGAGGCAGCCAAGAGGTTAAAAGCAGGATGATTTCTTCAGGCCAAAGTCAAGACCCAGGCCAGGAGATTTGGGAACAAAATGCCAGAGGGATTCTGGGCAACCATGAGTTAGGCACCCAGACCAAAGAACCTAACCATAAATTAGGAGTACAGCTCAGGCAGGAGGTTTGAGAAATATGCATATAACACTAATAAGACTGGATGTGGTACTGATCCAACGCTCCTTGTAAACTCCCTTCGTAGGCTCAAAACTGCTGTCAGAGTATGGGCCAGTATATAGGATTGAAACCATGAACAAGGGGAAGGACTGCATTTCTAATGCGCTGTGGAGTAGTAACAAGCCTGAGGAAGCCCGCCTGCTTACATCACAGCAACCTTGGTTTCAGATTTTAATCAGTTATATCGACCCAGAAATCATTAAAGCTTCACTGCTCTGTCAGAGCCTGGACTTTCTGCCAAAGAAGTAACAACTTTAAAGAACAGTGTTACAACAGACCACTAAGACAGTATTCATAATTGCTCTCAAATATTTAAAGGGATGTTGTGTAGAAATGGGTTTAGACTTATCCAGAGGGAAGATTAAGGAACAGTAATTACATGCTACAAGGAGACAGATTTTCACACTAAGTAAGAAAATCTCTGAACAATTACAACTGTCCAAAAAGAGAATGCACTGCCACATAAGACTGTATATCCCCCCAACCCCCTTAATACTGGTTAAACAAAAGGTGGAAACCACTGGTTGGGGGGGATATTGTAAAGAGGATTAATATAACAAATATGGAGTCCCAGCGACTCAAAAAGGAAAGAAACTGCTACTTCATTATCAGTCAATATGCAAGCTCTGACATATATATATATATATATATATATTTTTTTTTAAATAACTTTATTTATTTATTTATTTTTAACTTTGGCTGCGTTGGGTCTTCGTTGCTGCGTGCAGGCTTTCTCTAGTTGCAGAGAGTGGGGGCTCCTCTTGTTGCAGAGCACAGGCTCTAGGCGCACGCGGGCTTCAGTTGTGGCATGTGGGCTCAGTAGCTGTGAGCTTGTGGGCTGCAGAGCACAGGCTCCATAGCTGTGGCGCCTGGGCCCAGCTGCTCCACAGCATGTGGGATCCTCCCGGACCAGGGCCTGAACCCGCGTCCCCTGCATTGGCAGGCGGATTCCCAACCACTGTGCCACCAGGGAAGTCCCCTGACATATATTATACAATTTAATCCTCACCAAAAAAATAAAATATAAGAAGTTACTATGTATCAATTCCATTTTACAAACTGAAAATCAGAAGTTTCAGAACAATTAATTTACAAGGTTACAAAACCTCCAAATGGTAGATGGGATTATTTCTTTAGAGCTGTCTGCCTTTACAATCCATGTTTTTTCTATTCTTGAACACCGCAGATATTACAGCCAGCTTCCAATGTAATTTCAGTGCCAACAACAAAATGCTACCTTTGAGATGGTTGTTTTTTTTTTTTAAATAAATTTATTTAATTAATTTATTTATTTTTGGCTGTGTTGGGTCTTCATTGACATGGGCTTAGTTGCTCCACGGCATGTGGGATCTTCCCGGACCAGGGCTCGAACCTGAGTTCCCTGCATTGGCAGGCAGATTCTTAACCCCTGCACCACCAGGTAAGTCCCGAGATGGTTGTTTTTGAGGCTCTGGGTCTTAAACAGGTAAACTTCATCTCAAAGGCTACTAAGAGGTGACAGCAGGTATATAGTTCCAGCAAGGAATGTGCTTTTTCTGAGGTAAGGATTCAGGTAAAGAACTGGGAACTTTCAGACGGGCATCACTGTATGTAAATAAATTGTTCACTAAAGTAATCAGAATTTGACTCTTAGTCACAACTTAAGGTAAAAACACTGACTGAATTTAGAGTAAGATGAGATGGGTTATAAAGTCCCAGTTCTACCACGTACTAGCTTGTGACTCTGGGGATGTCAGTATCTCTAAGTCTGTTTCCATATATAGAAAATGAAGAGGTAGAGCTGGAACATCTCCAAGAGCTGTCTCTTTCTGATTCTATAATCTCCATAGCAAACTTGAAGAAGAAAGTCAAGTTTCCTTATTTGCTTAAATACTACTACTCATGGTTAACTTCTACTCTAGTCCTATGCAATATCACAGGCCAGAAAACTACCTTTCATAACTCACTGGCTGGTTTCTAAAACTCCTCCTTGCAGTGATTGTGCTGGGCTCTAAAGGCATATGGGCAGAACAGAGGGCAGACAAAATTGTGTGACACATCACTCACAAACACTCACACTGGTTTTTGAACTTTGCACTCTGCTAACAAGAGTCACTCTATTCTTTGTCTGACTTAATTTGCAAATAATCATTTTTCAGTTTCTGATTTAACAGCCCTGCCCTGCACTTTCCTTTGTCAATACTTCAAGAGCCTGTTAAAATACAAAATCCAAAAATACTAGATCTTAACCAGCTTTCTGTAATTTATCTATAAGCCTTCATCAACATGGAGGGTAGGCTAAGATGACCATTATAGCCTAAGTTCACTGTCTGAAGAACCCACCACTGGCTGATGAATGAGCAGGTGTGGAACACAGGGCTGAAGCAGTTGTCATGAACAAAGAGAACAGCAAAGACAGTGGATGAATCCTGTATCCAGTGAAACACACTGCATCAATGGGATGACTAAGAAAGTGCACACCTGTGTGCAGCAAAAGAACAAAGGCTTGAGAGAGACAGCAAGATCCCTTTTTCAAAGTTTGGCTACATCTACTAAACAAAGAGCAAACTTCACAAATTGTTCAGTATGAAAACATGATTCCATCTCACACTGGATTTTCAGTCACCCGACATGTAAGGATCAGTAAGTCACCTATTACACCATCTTAAAATACAGACATGATTTTGATAATTATACAGTGGTCATGTAAGAAAAAGCCCTTGTTCTTAGGAAATAACCAACATATGTAGGGGTAAAGGAGTATAATGTGCCCAGCATATTTTCAAAATGGTAAAGGAAAAAAAATGTGTATGGGGGAGGGGGAGGAAGACAGGGAAAGAGGGAGGGAAGGATGGAGGGGGAAAGAAGAGTAGAGAGAATGAACTGTAAAGCAGGTGGAGCAAAATGTAAATAGGTGAATATAGGTAAAGGGTATATGGGACTTCCTTGTACTGTTCATGCAACTTTTCTGTAAGTTTGAAATTGTATCAGAATAAAAAGTTACCCCTGAAGTCCCCTCCCACCCCCACCCTCCTCAAAAGACAGCAATGCAGTCCACAAAATAAAATATGGCATACATTTCAACTGTTTTCTTGACGTGTCATGTTTAAGGGCTATAAAGAAATAGCTCTGCTTCATTAACTCTACTCTGAGGTCCACACCCCATCTACATGACAGCTGACTTTGGGAAAATAAAGCTTGCTCTGACATAGAACTCAGTGGACACTTGGTGTTCTCCTAAAAGGGAAAATGGCAGGCATGGGAGATGAAGTGGAAACAAAGGAGAGTCTGAAAAGAGTCAAAGACCCATACCACCCTCTCCACAGCAAAGAAATAAACATAATGAGGCTCTGGTGGCCCTGGTTATATTTAAATAGTACTATACTTTTATGGCGGAAGGGGGTAATATCCTGAAGTTAAATATCTATATTACATTTCAGCAGATTTCTACAGCTGAAACCAGAGGTAAATATTTTCAAAATGTAAATATATTAAAAAAACGTTTCTTCTCAAGTCAAGCTTCAAAACATAGATACAGATGTGATTTCCCTAGATTTTTTGATGTGGTGTTGGTCTATATTAATCCTTGTATCTTTGTGGAATATGTAAAGGAATGGAAATAACATGATTACATGCTTCTTTTAGCTAAAACTTGCTACACTCCATACGTTCATGAAATGCACATTAATTTACCAATTAGTATTGAAATGTAATAAAATAAAGCCCATTAAAAATGAAGTACTAATCTCCTGATCATTTGGTTTTAAGTAATAACCATCTCTTACTCTGAGTTTTTCATATTAAAAACTGGCTTTATTTTGAAGGCTAAGTTTGGAAACCTTGCCTCAGAAATGTAAACCCTGTTCAACTTACCTTTGTCTGTTCTTTTCTAAGTTGCTTTAATAATGTTAAATTGTCCAAATTCTTTTCTCTCTCTTCTCGGAGCTGTTTTACTACTGATGAGGTCTGAGCTATACAGTTTTTTATGACTCGGTCCCTACTGGCATGAGCCGCCATCAACTAAAAGAACAAAAGAAGGAAATGAGAAAAAAAAAATCACACCAATTTGTCACATTTCAGTGTTTTAAAAAAACTTTTTTAGGCTACAGAAATGTAATACTTTCTAAAACAGTTTTTAAAAACTGAATCTGTGGAAGAGAAGATTGTGCTGAATGAGCCCGCTCAAAGGCAGCAGCTGTGAGGGTGAAAGTGAAGAGGTTGGGCCGTCCTCTTCCTCACTAAGCTCCCAGGCCTTCCTGCTCCTCTTCCTGCACTCCTTGCGCTGCGCTTTGATTCATCTCAGTCTCCTCCCTACACTCCTTTCTCTCCCATTCTTGCACCTGTGTGTTCCTCTACCCTACACCCACCCTCACACACCTTCTGGGCCACTTCCTATTGCTGTTCTCTTTTTGTTCTTTCATTGTTTTTTGCAGCCTCATGTTGTCAACAGTGCAAAAAATTATAAAGTAAGTGATATAGAGAAGCTCTTAGTTACAATAAAGAAAAACAAAGAATGCTACATTTACCTATGTCAGACAGAACCCTTTTCAAGATTTTAAACTTTAAGTACTAACAAGGAAAAATTGTACATGAAGTGGAGGTCACCGATTCCATCAATTGTGTGTGCTGACAGAGAGTAAAGGATGCCCAACAGAGCAATTATCAGCCTTCATCTTAATGTAACAAATCCAATACAATACTTTGCATCTATTTTCTGCCTTTTTTCATTAATTATGATAGTCATGTTTCAATTCAAACATACTCCCATGATCATAGCCAAATTCTGAAGATACCCCAAAAACTTGGGGTGGAGGCAGAGCAAAATACTAAAATTATATGCAATCGTCATTATAATTAATGGTGCATAATAACAGTAGTTCACCTCCAACTAAAATTTAAGTGTTGGCTTGCTCCATTTAATCACGTTATATCATTTCTTCTCCCCTCTGAAGGGGGACTATCCCAATGCTATGCTAGTGATGGCTGTATAGAAATAACCCATTATATATATTTTATATAAAATATGGGACTAACAACCATTCTATAAGCATTCCTCATAAGTTATTTGAAATACAGCTCTTAAATGGTCATATTGGGACCCCGTGGTTGAGAACTACTGGTCTAATACACACCAGGAAAGAATAAACCTTTATATTTCTAGAGGGGAATACTAAAAGTGCATTAGTTAAAAGTTGTACCCATGTTAAGGGAGGGAATTTCATAACAGACGTTAATCCCACCTATAGTATATTTCTCTAATAAGCTAATTTTTTTCAGTGTAACATTTAGGGTTCACAAGGACAGCCTCAAGGCCCATATTTATTAGCTAATATGCTGCTTCTGTTACAGGCTTCAGTTTCTTCTTTTGGAAAATTATGGATTATGAGTAAATAATCACTAATATCCTTTCCACCTCTAAAATTTAGAGGCAACATGACTCAGTACATTGCTCAGATACCAGATGCTATTTAATTACTTTGATATTTTGTCTAACCCCCCAGCAATTAGTGAAACAGTATTAGTACCAACTAGAAGTCTATCACAATATTCTCATTTTTCTATCTGCATTTTAAAATCAATTTCAAATTTTGTCCATTAAAACGTTCAGTATCTTTCTTTTGGTCTCTCTCCACACAGTTTCCTTCCTTGGCTGGGCTTTCCTCCATTATTCCCCTCGTTAGCTTGGCCCCTTACCTGTGGATACACTTCTAGATGCAGACTACCCTCCTATCCTCACCTGCTTACATTTCCTTCAGATTAGCCCCACTGTGAACCCACTCCTATGTGAACAGGAATTACTGGGCAAATCACCTTTTACTCAGTATTATCAATTATTGTGGTCTGTTTTCATGACCATCCTTCAATAAAATTCAAAACTAAGAGCATATGCAAGAGGAATATGCATGGACTTCTTTCTGTACATATATGTCAAAGAAATGAGGACACTTGATAACTAGTAACAGATGGGGTGACATAAGCCTACTAGAGAAAAAATAACATGAACCCAGGCTTATTAGCTCATTAGTATCAGATGCTTGAGGATTTGGTCATAAGAGAATTATTTCTGATACCTAAAGTGCTTATAAAGGAACTGAGATAAAATTAAGAAACTCAGTAAAGTAAAACTTTGGTTAGAGGAGAAAAATCCTGAACTATAACCATATCATAACCATACTTCCTTTGATCTGGGGTAAGCAATTCTGAAATGAAGACACTTGGGGTGGGGCAGGAGAATGATTCAAAACTAGTCTAAAGGGGGTATATCTAGGACTTCCCAGTTTTATTTTACCACAACTTTGAGAACTTCTTTTAGTCTGAAATTTTCACCTACTACCTTTTAATCATTATTTTAAAATAATGCTTTTTGCCTTTAAGGGAAACAGAATGTCATTTTCCTGATTATAGTTTTTTGGTGTTTTTCTTTCTAGAACAAAGGTTGATTCTAAATTTCCCAAACATCATTTTAGAATCCTAACAACGACCCTTAGTTTAACTATCATTAAAAGCAAAACACTTAAATATTGTGAATCAGTATGTTGTACACCTGAAACTTATATAATATTGTACATCAACTATACCTCAATTGCAAAAAAAGTTAATAAGTTTTTGTCATGGCATTTTTTGTGTGTTTTAAATCTTCCTCCAGAACTTCTGACAAAAGGATGTAAGAAGCATACTTTTTAAACATAGTCCAAAAGTTCATTATATTAAAGAGATAGCTTTAAGAATTACTCGAAATCAATCATTATGACACTGGTAACAGTTTTGCATTTGTAAAGCACTGTTCCAAGTTCCTAGACTCTTTAACTGTTCAGTATTGATTTTTATGTTTACCTTAAAACTAAACAATAAAGGAAAACTTCATATATTGAGGGAATATGCTCTAATAAGGGAATCTTACTGAAATTATTTCATTTTTACTAAGATTATACTTTTAAAATTTGGAATTTCTAAAATCAGTGCTTTATAATAACTTTGCTTATCTTCTCCTATGAAGAAGTATTATCATTAGAGTGCGCAAATATTCCTTCATCGACTATAAAAGGAAGGGTCAGGAACTAAAGACAGTCAGGGTGACCGTAAACAACTTGGACATGTCACAGAGCTCCACTTCTTAACTGAGACAATATCTAAGGGAACTCAGTGGTACTTGTTAGCATGGGTACTCTATTGCAGGCTCGACCCCTGGAACAGAGCTACTTGATAAATAATCCTTTACATACATTCATGTTGCTGGATCCCTCTAGAATACAGATGGAGAAAAACCCAAACACATACACAAGAATATCTAAAACAGAAAGGTTCCAAATTTAGCATGCCAGTTTATCCTGGTTCAACAAAGGAATAAGAAATAATAACAACAATAAGAGAAGCAGCAAGCATTTATACGTAAAACATTTAGTACAGTAAGCACCTTATATTAACTCATTTAATCCTCTAACAATTGACCGGATACTTTTCTGATACTATTTTACAAATAAGGAAACTGACTCAGAGGTTATTTCAAGGTCACCCAGCTAGGAAGTAGCAGAGGTGAGATTTAATCTAGATCTGGAATCCATGTTGTTAATCGCTATACTATAAACCTCTAGGTTAATAAAAAGATTCTAAATGGAAACAATTGAATAGATTATAGAGATTATATATATATGGGTAGTGAGGTGGCTCACTAAAGCCATTACAAACTTCTACCAATAGTTCTTTAGACAGAGCTACCCAAAGAAACTAAGTGAAGTGTCGAACAACCTCATAATAAATTAGGCCTTGGACCCATGCTCTCTACTCCCAATACTGGAGTCTACTCCTTAAAGCCCCTGTCCCTACAATTTTATGAAGCCACAAGAATTACCTGACCACTCAACAAAGTAACATACTTTCACATAAAAGCAGAAAAAAAAATCAGCAGTTAATGCTTTGAATTTAAGTGATATGAATAAGTTTATCCAAAACTGATTTTTTTTTCATTATTGAGAAATTGACTTTAGATTTTAAGTAATACAGTAATCTTCTGGTAGAGCCTAAAAAAGCAAATGCCATATATCAGCTTCCAAATTAATGAAAAAAATATAAGTAAGCTATAAAAAATGCTCAGCTACATCGTTATTTCCTTTCACTTTTAGAAATTAAAAAAGAGAAATAAAGGGGATCTTTAAGAGGCAATGAAAAAATATATACTTGAGAAACCAAAGCCTCAGAAAAGGACAATTTATCTGTGGCTTTTCCTTCTCTCCTGCCAAATGCTTCTTTTCCCTTTCCTGATGAGTCAGGGAAGATAGAAGATATATTGATAAAAAGTGTGAAGGGTTTTAATTCTTCCTTAAATCAGGTGTCTAGCTTCTTAAGATTGATTCATTCAAAGATCCTGCTCTTGTTTCACTGTTTTATTGTACTTGACTGTTTCACTTTCTCCTTCATTCCTTGAAGCATAAGCTTTCCTTAAGTTAAAGGCTGCTCAGGAGGGGGTCGAAAAAAGGCTGCTTTCATTCCTTAGAACTGTCTCTTCCCAGACTTGTACTTAAGATCACACATTTTCTTTAGTTTGTAGAAACCAGATCAAAACTTATATATACCCTCAGGTGTGGGCAAGAAAACATGAAGATTCCATTCTTGTATCCACAGTTAATTATGTCAATTGTTTTCTTATTTTGCCTACAGAGAAAGGCATAAAGGAAGCACAAAAGAAAAGACTCAAAAGATACACTTACAGACTCATAAAGTTGTTTACAGGTTTGGCTGGCATCAATTTTCCCTGCAAAGGAAGCTGTTGGAACCGTAGTGTTTAATTCATGTACTATTCTGTCATCAATCGTCCTCATCACCTTGAGTAATTCCTATATATATTTAAAATAAAAGAATAGTAACTTGAATGGAAAGTTAAGTGGTTAAAAAAAGACCATTTAAGCAAAACTAACTAACTAAATAAAGCTCTTGAATATGTTACAACCCTGTGAATTAGGAGTGGGGAAACCACACTATATATACTGCAACCACAGAAAAATCTTTTTTACAAGAATGAGAGGTAGATTATGTAATAGTAATTCTAACAATTGGCACAACTCTTTCCTTGGTCCCACTGTGATCATCTTAAGTGTAAAGATGGTTTCATTCATTTGTAAACCCCATGTTCTGGCACGGTGCTTAGCAAACACTGTTCTTTCCATCTCCAGCATACAGCCAATAAAGGATTCTACTGAATTTGATTACCTCCACTTGTCCAAAACAACGCAGCATCATTGCTTGCTCTGTTCCCTCTTTGTCTATCATTCTAAAATGTGGTGCTAGACAGAAATTTTCTAGAAAGATACACAAGAAACTATCAGCAGTGATTAACGTGCAGACGTTAATCTATATCCTTTCAAGCTTTTTTCCCTTTCAGGCTTTTTCTTAGTTTTTTACTACGACTGTGTATTATTTTTGTAACAAAAATAAAGTATACTGCTAGAAAAGAAATCAAATCTCTTTGTGGCTTTCTTGTTCATAGAACAAGTAGTTTTACCTTTTCTCAGTTACCCAAGTTCACATTTCCCAAGGATCTCTCTCCTCTAAAAGAGGCTCCAACTCTCAAAACCCAATCAAAATAAAAATAATACCAAAAGGGCAGGGAACTTAGAAAGACCCTGATGAGTATACCAACACAGCATAGTCCCTTCTCCCCACATTTTGATTAGGGTACTTCTTTTCACTTGTCACTAGACAAAGGCTGGGCATCAGCTACCTTCTGTCTGCAGATGATATAAACTCTAGAAAAGGTTTCTAGTAGTATACCCCTTTCTTTCTCTTTTAATCCACCCTTACCTCACCCTGGCCCCACAAAACAAAACAAAACAAAACACAATCACAGAAAAATCATTAAGAAAACAGAAGTGTATAATACTAGGACTATACTTAATGAAAACATCCAGGAAGTTAACATTTAATATTAATGTGTATTAAAAGCATCTTTGCTTGATCCTCTACTTCATTCAACATATGAACCTATTTCTTTGCCAAACTTAAATCCATCACTGAAATCAGCTTCTTCATTCCTTTCATCCATTTTTTTTTGGTCATATTAAAAATGACAGATTTTGGGCTTCCCTGGTGGTGCAGTGGATGAGAGTCCACCTGCTGATGCAGGGGACACGGGTTCGTGCCCTGGTCTGGGAAGATCCCACATGCCACGGAGTGGCTGGGCCCGTGAGCCATGGCTGCTGGGACTGCGCATCCGGAGCCTGTGCTCCGCAACGGGAGAGGCCACAGCAGTGAGAGGCCCGCGTACCACAAAAAAAAAAAAAAAAAGACAGATTTTAATCTGAAAATTGGCAGGAGTGTGATTTGCATACATTATTTAATCACATGATTGTGAATTAGTTATAGTTACCGTTCTTTTTTATTGAATTATAGTTGATTTACAATATTATATTAATTTCAAACATACAATGTAATGATTCAGTATTTTTATAGATTATACTAAATTTAAAGTTATTAAAAAATATTGGCTATATTCCCTATGCTGTATCATCCATTTGTTAAAATAAACTTTTATTATGATTAAAGTATTACACAATCATTTTGGAAAATTTAGGAAAAAATTTAAAGAAACTAGAATCATCCATATTTTTAAATTAATTTTTATTGGAGTATGGTTGCTTTACAATGTTGTGTTCAGTTTTTTTATACATATCCGCAAATATTTTTATCAAATTGAGGTACTGTATAACATTTAAAAGTTTTACTTTATGGAATTATGAGCATTCTGCCCTTGTTACCTTGAAGACATTTTTAATAGGTGCATAAATATTCTGTTCTGTAGAGGTATCACAACTTATTTGACCATTTCCCTCATAATTAACAGCTAGGCGTTTCCAATTATAATAACCATTTAGGCCATTCAATCTGTCTGCAGCCTAGATTCTATTCCTACCAGGCTATTAATCTTTAATTAGTAATTTAACGCCCTTTTCTAGAACCCAATCTAGAAGCAAAACAGCTTGTAGAAGGCTCATAATTTAGACTAATAAAAACAGGCAAACATCAGATCTAAAACCAACTTCACTATCTTATCCCCTCTTCTTGTATCTTTCTATTTTTGTCAATAGTATCAAGATTCTCTGTAAACTGGAATTCTTAGGGGATAATCTTAACATATTCACTAAGCAACCACAATTTTAAATAATGTTTTATGTACAGTAGAGGATATATAATGTCAGTAAGTGGCAAATTTCAAACAAACAGCGGCAGTACTATTTAGAGTCAAAAAATAGGTAAGTAGCAAACAGGGACCTTCCTTGACAACTTTACCTCCTACAACTTGCCTATTAAAACAAAACCAAAAAAAAACCTTTAAAATCCCTCTCGTCTTTCCCTTTCTCTAAATCGAACTGATCCTGAGGCCAAGGTTTACATTATACCTTTTAGATAAAGCTTTCCTTGACTGAGAGTCCTCAGCAATCTTTCTTCTTTAAACATATGCAGCAATTAGAGAGACCACAGAGTTGATTCATTAACTCACTCTTCATTCAAAAAATACTTACTAATGTCTAATGGTTAGGCACCATTCTAAACACCAGGGCTATAATGGTGAATAAAATAGAAAAGGCCCTTGCTCTTATGGAGCAAAATTCTCAGAGGGGGAGAGAGACAATAAACAAGTACCCCAATAAATGAGATAATTTCAGTACTGAAAAGTACTACAAAAAAGAAAACTGGTAATGGGATGAAGAATGACTAGGTGGGGCTGAGGGGCTAATACTTTAGATAGGGAGATCAAGGAAGGCCTCTCCAGGACATAACATTTGAGCTGAGATCTGAGTGATATAAATAAGCCAACTAAAAGGACATCTGGGGGAACAAGTCAAAAATTAAGAGGCAAGAACAAACTTGGGGATGTTTGAAGAACTAAAAGGCGGCAAGTGGGCTGGAAGTGAATAAGGGAAAGAGTGGTATTAGGTGAGATCAGAGTTGAGGAGAAAATAAAGGACAGTAGAGACAACAGAAACAATTAAGGGTTTTTTCCTAAAGGAAACAGGGTTTTAGGCAAGGGAATGATATAACGATTAATTTTTTAAAAGATAACTTCGACTGCTATGTGGAGAATGGAAACAGGGTGATCATTCAGCAGACTACTCTGGTGGTCTAGGCAAGAGACAAAGAGGTAGCAGTGGAATCAGGGAGAAGAAGTTGGATTCAGGATATATTTTGAAGAGAGAGCTGATAGGACTTGCTGATGAATTGGTGTTGGGGGATAAGAAAACAGAATGACGCTTAGGATTGAGACCTGAGCAACCGAATGGATGGTAGAGTCATTAATTAATGGTGGGGAGAGACTGGGAGAGGAAAAGATTTGGAAGGAGTGGGAAGATCAAGATCCTATTCTGACTCAGAGGATATTTTACATTTAGGATTATTGTTAATTGTTTGCGACACTGGTATTGTTTAAAATTGTAATCTTTTAGAAATAAAGACTGAAATATTTACAGAACAAAAGATCTACCTGGGATGTGCTTCAAAATAATCTGGTTAGGATGGGGAAAATGGTAGTATATAAATGAAACAAGAGTGGCCATGAACTGATTGTTGGAACTGAAAGATGAGTACACAGGGATTCATGGTACTCTCTCTCCTTTTGTAAAATTTGAAATTTTGCATAATAAAAAGTTTTTTTAAAAAATTCTGTTTTGGACATGTGAAGTTTGAGATGCCTGTTAGATATGAGTAAAAAAGTTAAGCAGAAAGTTGAATATACCAGTCTGACACTGAACTGGGCTGAACTTATATTAACAAATTTTATTTATTTATGCATGCATGCATGCATGCTGCATGGCTTGCGGGATCTTAGTTCCCTGACCAGGGATTGAACCGGGACCCTCAGCAGTGAGAGCTTGGAGTCCTAACAACTGGACTGCCAGGGAATTCCCCAAATTAATGTTTTTAAAGCCATGAAACAAGAAGAGATCACTGAGGGAGACTGTAGGGAATAAAGGGGGTTAATGATCAAGAAGGAACTCTAGCATCTAAAACTACAGGAGAAAGACTGAGATGTCACAGAAGTCAGAAGAAGAAAGGTTTCAAGAAGGCAACGGTCAACTGTGTTGAATGTTCCTAGGAAGTCAATAAAGATGTGGACAGAAATTAACTTTTTAGATTTAGCAGGATGGAAACTATGGGTGATTTCACAAGAGTCATTTAAATAGAGTGTTTAATGGACTGAAAAGTTAATGTGGCTTAAGTACAGAGAATAAGAGAAAGCATGGTGTAAAATGAGGTCCACCATTACAGATCATGTTATAGGATTTTAGTCTTTTTCCTGAGAGCAATAGGGAACCAATGAAGTGTTTAAATACAGTGGAGTTACATGATCTGATTTGTATTCTGAAATGATTGCCTAAGTTAAAGAATTAAAGTGTGGAAAATGGATTAGAGAGAAACAAGAGTAGATGCAAAGAGGTTAGTTAGAAGACTGATGCAGGTGAAAGGTTTTATCATTTCCTAGAGTTTTGATTTACTTTGAACTTTAACTAGTTTTGAGTCTGATCATTAGCAATACAGCCAATTTTCCCTCCAATAAAACAATTTGGACATACTGTTAAGTTCCTTACAGCAATGGGAATTTACTGGCATTAACTAGGTAATAAATCAAACAATTTCAGTCTTACAAATGTGAATTTTCAAATATATGCGTTCTCTGTGTGCTAAAGAATCATCAATATATGATCTAGAGCTTGGCTTTTAATATGAAAGCCACCAGCTATCTATATAACCTCTATCTAATCTAACCTCTAAATAAAATGAGGTTATTTTAATCAAAATTGTTCAGTTGCACGAGCTACATTTCAAGTGCTCAAGAGCCACATACTGCTAGTGGCTACCATATTGGACAGCACAAGTTTCCACCATCACAGAAAGCTCTACTGGACAGTGTTGAATTCGAGATAATATAATGACAAACTGATAGTGCACTTGTTCAGGAATTGCTGAGAACTGTAAGCTACTTTTAACTATCACAGAAAAGATACTAGGAAAGCTAAAGATAAGGGGGGGGAAGGGGTAAGGCTCAGGAAGGAATTTCTTTCAAAATTGCAAAAGGAGAAGGAAAAGAACTATAAACTACCTCACTAGGCACAAATTTCTTTACAGTACAAAAGGTGCCAGAGCTCTTAAGGCAACTCCAAGGGGGTCTAGAGAAAAGCTTGGGTACCCTCACAGACTGAGAGCAGATGAAGGTTAATACAGGCACATAAGTGCTGCCATTAAACTATATGTATCATTCATAAGGAATTACTAACTACCTACCTGATACTTTGTTCCAATGGCATACCCTCTCTCTCACAAATTCACCAAGAAAATATAAAGAAGACACCCCCGAGCAGATAGCATACAACAAACTGCAACACAAGTCCACAGAGATAATACAGAAATATACACAGTTCGGTGGCTCTCTGAAGACTACATCTTTGTATAGGAGCTGGAACCCTAATCAGCTTCTAAGTGTCAAAGAACAGCAGAAGATAACTCTCCAAACTTTGTAGTGCCTCCAGCTTCTCCTTTCTTTCTCCTCAAAACAACAAGAAATTCTGATATATCATGAATTTTTAACTTTAGGCTAACCCTTTAAAGTTATTCAGGCACTTACCTTGGAATTGCATTTTATGTATTACCTTTAACTGTGGGGTGAAAATCTCACCCTCTTGGAAGGCAATTTCAGAACTGAAGGACTGACCATATCTAGCAGCAGGGAGGGGTGGAGAAAATTTTCTACTGCCCCTGCAATTATACTATACTCTATTCCTAAGGTTACTCCTTAGATAAATTCTTTTTATTATTTTGGGAAGCTTTTAGAGTACACGGGGGGTGGTAAAAGGTCTATTACTTGACAGTAAAATTAAAATGTACTCCACAGAATGATCTGAAATTTCTTAACCTTTCTTCTTCTCACTCTCTGCCTGAAGGTACCCAGAAGTAGATCCCATTCAATGGTGCTCTTTCTGGCTGCTCAAACTCCATTTTCATAACAATGTTCACACTGTGCTTCCCCCAAGCCAGAAATACAGACTTGCCTACAACTGCCAGAGTCCTGTGCGGTCCTCTGCACAGGAGGGAACAGGGAGCAGCTAGGTATGCTGCAAAAGATACCATCACTGATGCTAGAAAATAGTCTACTTAGTCTGTACCTAATTACCAAACAACTCAGAATCAATTGTGTGTAAATAAATAAATATTCTTACCAGAAATACCAAGACTTACACATTCTAGGAATACTTAGTTGATTTTGCTCAGGTGATATATGAACTGGGTCTCAGATAGAGTCAGGAAGAAGGGATTTCAGGGTGTTAAGTGGAAAAAAGCACACAGAAATGACAAAACATCATGTGTTCAGGGAAAAGTAGGCCTATGTGGCTGGACAGTAGAGTTCAAATGTACATTGGAAGTGGCAGGGGTTGGGGAGAAAGAAGTATGTATGAATACGGGCAGTGGTGAGAGTTAACTAAGCAGAGGCACTTTGGGATTGGATTTTAAAAGGACTTGTATGTCATGTTAAGTAGTTTAGACTTAGTCGTATAATCCTGAAATGAGATGCATGGTTCAGATCCTAAAATTTAGAAGCTAACAGTATGAAGCCATAGCATTTTGAAGGGGAGATATATTAGAGAAAGGAATGACTGAAGATAAGAAGAGCTACAGCAAAGCTAATTGCAAAAATGATAGGGCACTAACAAAGACTGTGGGCGTGGTAATAAATCTTCCTAAAACATTTTTGATCAATTCACCCCCTCTGCTCACTGACTCCCTAACCTCACACTTGGCATTCAAGGCCTTTCATAACCTGGTTCCAATCTTTTGTGTAATCCCAATGTGCTCCTGTGCAAATTCTGAATTCCAGCAATTTGCTATTTCCCCCCAATATATAAAACTTTCTGCCTATATACTATTCCTTCTACCTAGAATTCCCCTGGTTCTGTCCACCTCTGGTACAACTCAATTACCATCTATTGACTTAATTCTCTCTGAACTGTTACAGCATTGTGTTCATATTCTAAATATCCTCTACACGTTTTATCTCTCTGCTTGAGTTCCTTGTTTTATATCCTGCCCACTCAGTCTCTCCAAGTGCCTGATACCTAGCAGGTTTCTGTTATGGACTGAACAGTGTCCCCCCTTGGCCCCCTTCCTGCCCCCAATTTCGTATGTTGAAGCCCTAACACCCAGTGTGACTGTTTTTAGAGACAGGGCCTTTAGGGAGGTAATTAAGGTTAAATGAGGTCATAAGGGTGGGACACTAATCCCATAGAACTGGTGTCATTGTAAGAGGAAGAGACACCAGAGATCTCTCTCCCTCTGTGTGCACACAGAGGTCATATGAGGATACAGTGATGAGGTAGCAACTTACTTTGAAATGCATCAAAAATTAAAAATAAAAAAGGTGGATTGACGGATAGATTGAGGGATGGTATGTGATTTAGTAAATATAGTGAATCACTGTAGAACCTACACAGTGGGTACATGAGTATTCATTGTAAAATTCTTTGAACTTTCTACAGTGTTTCAACATCTTCATAATAAAATTCTGGGGAAAAAGTAACTAAATCTTTATAATAAAAAGTACACAATTTTCTGTTTCTCTTCCACAGTATTCAGTGCAGTGCTTTTCACATATAAGGTACCTACATACAAAATGTAATGGTTTCACAGCTCTAAAAAACATAAACTTTGATTAATAATTTGTGAGTGTGCCAGTTAACTACAGTTTATAATTTTACAAAATTCATTTAAATGTAAATGTTATACTAAAATTTTATTTTCAGATACATTTTTTTTACATTTGTATGCCTCTGAAGCAGTAAGGGCAAATGTTCTTATACTCATTCACAATGAGGTTAAATGATATGCCAAGGCCAGCTCTGGAAAACCTGATCTTCTGACTTTTAACCCAGGGTATTCTCCATTATAAACCACACATTTGGAAAAGTCCTAGAGAAACAATCTAAAAACTTCTCCAGGTTTCACGAATGAGATTCATTTTATGACTTTTTAATTTACATGATCTCTGTGAATAAAATGGTTCTGCAAGACAGTTTAGCTTTTGCCCACTTACAACATCTCATCTGAACTTCCAAAAGAAAATGAAAGTGTTCTTTAAGCACTGTTGAATGTTTCAACAACTCAAAGAGATCCTTTGAAATTTGGTTTTAGAGATTTAAATAATTATAGAGACGGAAGCCATTTTAAATGTTATTTAACATAATCTTATTTTACAGATTCAAAAGTTAATTATGGAAGGGGTTAGGTGATTAGCTCAAGGTCCCAAAGCTGTTAATGGCAGAAGTAGTACTAGAACCCAGAACATCCAACTCCCTAACCAGGGTTCTTTCAGATAAACTTTAAGGCTATCATAGCTCAATTATCTGAGCTCATTAACCCAAGTTAAATCACAGGACTAACGTGACAAGACCAAGGCCACAAATGGGCTGGTTAACCTTAGAATCCAACAGTCTTTTTTCTACCTTATTTAAGATTTTTACAAATATTTGTATTTGTTAGGCACTTTGATCACATTTGAAGTCTGCTGCTGTTGTCCTGATCTAATCTGCGCAGCTGAAGTGGTGAAAAGGGTGTATATAATGCTGGAAAGACTCCACAGAAACTTCTTTGACCAAATGATGTTTGTCAAATAATTCAATCTGTTGAGATTATCTTCAAGAATATCACTCCCTAAAAACGGATGCAAGCACACAGCTTACTACAGAGGTCAGTGATACGTGAAATGATTTTTCATTATCTTTAGTTAAAAATACATTTTTCATTATTTTTAAATTCCACACTCTTATCAAGACAGCAGCACTTATGCTTACATTGGAACAGATAACTTTCATTGCAACTTCGTCAAAATCCAGACCCCCTGTTCTTTAATTCGTGGGTTAATAATCAGCCCTAGACCTCTGGTGTTTGAATATATAAAAGACATAACCTTTTTCTTAAATGTTACATTTTCTCTAATGGTTGGGAAGGCAGAGAACCAGCGCAGGTACTAGGATTAATCGACCCTTCAAACCTCCAAACGTTCTGACGCATCAAAATAGTGAAACTCGTACAATTTTTTTGTTTTATCAAGTAAATAAGCTTTCCTTCACTTTCTTCTCTCCTATAAATACTCAGCTTTAAACAGGAGGGGAATGACAGAGACTAAGAACTGAGTTCAGAGAATGGCTAAATGGTTGTTGCAATCCTTACCCACCCGGCCGGACTCGGCTTTGCCACCGAGGAACCACTGGAGTTTCTGGGTGCAGTTACTCAAGGCCTGGGAGAGCCATGACCCCAAGGCAGCAGCCTCGCTCCCTAAGGCCAAGCCCGCGCCCCTATGACCTCCAATGTCTCGAAAAAGGAGTTTTGAAATATCCGCTTTTGCCACAACTGGTCCGCACTCCCTCCCAGGCCAGAATAGGGAACACGGTCCGGGGACAAAAGGAAGGTCACGCCTGCCGCGTGAGGAAAACCCCGTCACCTGGAACTCGGCGAACTCCTCACAGTTCACACCGCCACTGGGCGCCGCCATATTGGACACACACGAGGCCCCCGCCGCGAGCCAATCATCGCGAAGCAAAGGTGTCCGCGGCACCGCCTAACAAAAAATATTGAGAGGAATCTCAGCAAGAAAGCTGAGCTCAAGGTTTGTCTTTTCCCCTTAGCCTCGCCCACATGTAAACCCGTAACGCTGCTATCCTTCTTTTCACTCCTGTGCTTTTAACATGTCCTCCTGGAACTGGCCCAGGTGCATAGATCGAAGAATGTCAGAACTTGAAGGGATCGTTTTACTCCAATCCCATTTACTTAACAAAAGGGGAAACAGTTTCCTGGTCGCACCAACAAGGTGGTTCGAGAAGGAACTCTCAAGTAGAAGTGAGGTTTTTCTTAACCCTCCCGTCCCGACCCTTGATCAGAGGGGCTTTTGTTCTTTAAGAATTTGCGCCCACCAAGAAATGTCAAGAAAAGACATTGATGGCAGTGGGGGGTAAGGGTTGAATAAGGTGTTTAGGTGTGGAAATAATAAAATGTTTAGTTTTATAAAAATAGGCAAATAGAAAACAACATAGGAAGCATACATGTGAATTTCTCAGGTAGCCTGAGAGATACTCCCTAAAGCCAACCAAGAGATGAAGGCCACTGGTCACTAAGAACCCAATTACGCAGTTTTGAAAAAGGCATGTACACATTCATTGAAAATACTGAAAAAAGTGTACTGAAATACTGATTTATCTAGGCAGTGTGATTTCGGGGTCTACAGGTCACAAAAGTCCTACTTAGTAAGCATATTACTTTTCTTCTTTTTTGTTTTTTTTGGTACGCGGGCCTCTCACTGTTGTGGCTTCTCCCATTGCGGAGCACAGGCTCCGGACGCGCAGGCTCAGCGGCCATGGCTCACGGGCCTTGCTGCTCCGCAGTACGTGGGATTTTCGCGGACCGGGGCACGAGCCCCTGTCCCCTAGCATCAACAGGCGGACGCTCAACCACTGCGCCACCAGGGGAGCCCCACTTTTCTTCTATTTTAAACGGATACTTTCTTAGGTGCAGAGAAGGCCATTGCAAAGGCCCTCGAAACCAAGACTCCAAGACAGCAGTTTTGCGGCCGCTTCCAAGACGCGGCGCCAACAGAGACGTGGCTGGGTAGGGCACGCTGCCCGCACAGTCTGAGCGCCAAGCACGACCCACACGCTCCACGCTTCTAGTAGGCCCCGCCCATCGCCCGGACGTCACTCATGACCCGTTCGCTCTGCTCTCACCTCCCACAAGCCCCTCCCCAGAGTCCTGCTCGGGTCTCTGAGTTCGCTGCGCTCGGCGACCTTCAGCTTACCCGCGCCAGCGGCCTTGCGGCACTGTGTTGGTCGGCGGAGTAGGCGGCCATGGGGAGCCTCCGCGGCCTGCGCCTGGCGGCTGGTGAGACGCGGGCCGGGCAGGGGGTGGGCGGGAAGCCAGCTCGGCCGCTGTGGGTGGAGGAAGCCTGCAGCCTCCTCAGGAATGATAGTTGCTCTGTTCCATTACGCTTTCCCCTCAGGTAGTTCGGAATCCAATCGCAGGGTAGTAATAGGGGGAGAGAGCAAGGGATGAGCGAGCAACTGGTAAGCAAGACACTGCGAGCTAGCCGAGAGTGACCCTCTGCATCCAACCAGCTGCCACCAACTTAACGAGCCGTTTTGCTCCCGGATCACTTTTCCGACCCCCAGCCCCTGTGAGCTCAGTTCTTAATGCACTTCCCATCCCTAAAACTACCCCATTGCCTGATTCATTCAGCTTTCCACGAGTCTTGAGCCTCCCCCTCCCCGCCACTCCCACCCCCACCATCTCTAGAGTTTATCTCTCAGAGAAATTTTGAGTCTAGGGTTTCCTACCTATTTGTTATCTGATTAGGCAAGGGATGTATGGTCTCCCAGAATAACAGTAATTGTTTTCCTAAAATGGGGGGGTACACTTCTTTTAAATAATTCTACAATAAAGTGCTTTAAATTTCTTGGAGGAAAGTGTTATGTAAATGCAGGATCTGTGGTTTGTTTCCCTTGTAGACATTTGTGTAATGACTATTTGGAGTCGGGGTTTAATTTGCCTTCTTGGGGAACCAGTAGAGCCTTTGCTTAGTAGGGGCTGAGAAATCAGTGTTTGCCTCTTGGCTGTTTTCTAGGCACCAGGGCAAATCACACTTTTGGTTACCTTTATGAACTTTGATAAGGTGTAATGATTGATTCCTTAGTACCAAAACGTTGTTTAATTCAGATTTTACAAGAAGAATCGCCCTAAACTTGACTATTGAGATAATGCAAATGTACATTGTAAATGTAAATGAAATAATGTAAAAAAAAAAAGTTATCCTTGACATTTCTTTTTCTTTTTTCTTTTTTTTTTTTTTTTGCGGTACGCGGGCCTCTCCCGTTGCGGAGCACAGGCTCCGGACGTGCAGGCTGAGCAGCCATGGCTCACGGGCCCAGCCACTCCGCGGCATGTGGGATCTTCCCAGACCGCGGCACGAACCCGTGTCCCCTGCATCAGCAGGTGGACTCGCAACCACCGCGCCACCAGGGAAGCCCTCCTTGACATTTCTTATTTTGCATTTCAGTGGTGAATGGACTGGAAAACATGTCTCATGCTGAATATTATTTACTTCCTTTAAAACAAATACCCTTTCTGCTAAGAGATTGATTTCATTGATTTGTTCAGTTTAGATGAACTAATTCCCCTAAAATCTTTTGTTCACATCCTGTTAACCTTTTCAGCAAGGTGAGTGAAAGAATCATTGCTCTGTAAAAAAAAAACCCTGTAAAAGGGACTTTGACTACAGAACCAAGACTGAGTGTTTGTAAGTAATTCATCTTCTTGCCTTGAGAATATATTTATGTACTATAAGGATTCCAAAGCCGCTCTCCAAACTTTTGACGTTTAAGAACTTTACCATTGGGCAGTCAGTCAAAACAAAATTCCTTGAGCAATTTAAGAACAATTTATTTTACTCCAGATAGATCCACTAAGGATGTTATATGAGCAACTCTTCCCAAAGGATCTCTGAATGTCTGATGTTTTGTGAGCAACTTCAAGCAATTTGCTCCTTCACCCACTTTTGCCCATTTTATTTCTAAATACTTTGACCTACATTGTTTTACTTGATTGATTTCTCATAGTAGCCCTCTTAGGTAAGTCTTTTTGTCTCCTCTCCATTTTACAGATGAATAAACATGGGTTCGAGGGTTAGTTGACTTGTCCCAGGTTGATCCGCCATAAAATGTTAGAGTCAGGAGATGAGTCAGTGCCCTCTAATTCTGGAACTGTACTCTGCTTTGTTCAGACTGCTTGTTCAGATATATGTGTACATGTATTTGTCATAGCTAATAGGGTCTCCTTGGTGTGAAATGGAAGAGTCATGAAATGCAGATTTACTTGTGAAATGGAAGCAGTCATTCATATGCAAATAGTTTTCAAGTAAGAACGATTTAACTGGCAACTTTACTAAAGGAATGGTAGATCAGATAGAAACATAATCTAGGCATACCTCATTTATCCAGAATATTATTTGGAAGAAGGTACTTTAGGTGAATGAAATTTCAAAAACCCAAGGCTTAATCCTTTAAATGATGGACCCTTATTTTTAATTGTTTCTGTTGGAAATCTTTGCTATACTCCCTTAACAAACAGAATGTAGGCTTTTACGATCTTGAATTTGTTTACTGTTTTGTAGATGTACCTGTAGAAATAGGTCAGGGTTGTTAACTTTTGGTTCTTGGTTCTTTGTTTCTTCACAGATGAGAGGTTCTGTGAACCTCTGAAATTGCATTCACATTTTTATGATTATATGCCTGTTTGGGGAAGAGAGGATCCATAGCTTCCATCCATTACTCAGAGCAATCTGTGCTAAGCTAAAAAGCACTTTTATGATGATTTGGAACTAAATGGCTATTGATCCACACTACTGTGGGTTCCATGAGGGTAAAGATGGGGTCTGTTTTGTTTTTACTAAATCTTCAGCACTTACCAGTGTCCAGCTCATAATAGATAGGCAATAGATACTTTTTGGAATAATTGTTTTTAATATTTTATTATTTTTAATAAAATAATTGTTTTTTATAATTATTACTTTCTATATAATAATTATTAGATCAAAGGAATGGAATGGTCTTATAAGAATGTTTCTTCACACCTTCAGAAAAGATTTACTGCCCTAAACTCCTTTGACTTAACAGCAGATTTTTAAATGAATTTATTATTGTTATTTTATCAATGCAGTGGGCCATGGGCATTCTCCTTGTCAGTTTTACCCACATCCTAGAGCATTAGAATCAATGGATAACTTAAAAGTCATGTAGTCATGTAGTACCCTAAGTTTACAGATGAGGAAACTTAAGGCCCAGGAAGGAAATTGACTTGCTAAGGGTCACACAATTACAAAGCTGGGAATATCTCCTGGTTCCCATTCTGATTTTATTTCTACTACATTCTGCTCCTTCATTGTACTTTTTGTTTGTTCTTACTAATCAGCCCTAAATGAGTACATGCCCATTTTTACCATTTTATGCCTCCAGTCTTTGGCTTTGCTTATCACTCCCTCCAGGTCTTGCCAACAGGTTTTTACTGAGCAAACACTATGTGCCCTGTTCACTATGAAACCTCTGGAATGAGTGGACTGCCACTCTTCCTAGGGCTAATAAAGTTTATTGCAATGAATAAGCAGACCTATATAATACACCTGGAGAGCTTATACAAGACAGTATATATTAAGTTCTAGATTGCAGAACAGATTTTTTTTTTTTCGGTACGCTGGCCTCTCACTGCTGTGGCTTCTCCCGTTGCGGAGCACAGGCTCTGGACGCGCAGGCTCAGTGGCCATGGCTCACGAGCCCAGCCGCTCCACGGCATGTGGGATCTTCCCAGACCGGGGCACGAACCCATGTCCCCTACATCGGCAGGCGGACTCTCAACCACTGTGCCACCAGGAAAGCCCTGCAGAACAGATTTTAAATGCTGCTCTTGTGTCCTGAAGCTGGTTCCTCCTGGCTTTGTGCATATCACTTTCCAGTTTCACAGGTAGTCATGTTACACTGGTAGCTTGAGATCTGCCATGGTGAGGGTTATT